CAGTGCTCACTACTGAGAATAGGATCCGTCCATCCCTGTAGCCAGATGAGGAGGCTGAGAGGAAGTATTTGGGCCTGAACTAAGGTTGCAAAGCTATCAGGAGGCAGAGCAAGGTCTCTAGTTCCAAAGTACCAGAACTTTAACCATTTATCAAACTATGGGACAATGTGAGCAGCTCATTGCTACAAATGCTTCAACTTGCCTTATACCAAGAAAAATAACCCAGAACATTTAGAAGAGAGTTTCCCACAAAGTAGATTTGCACAGGTCAGAGATGGTAAAAAAATAAAACAAAATATATTTGTTCCAAAACCACTGAGCACCACCTATGCCCAGATGCTGCAGTTATGAAGATCAAGTCCATTCCTTATCTATGAAGAACTAGAGATAGACACAAAGATAATTAAAATATTAAAAAAACATAATTGTTAGAGTTTGCTGCCTAAATCAAAACCAAATTTATGAAAACACCCTATGTTACCTGGTCACACTGGCCCAAATCGGTTCACATAAAAGGTAAAGCTAGCAAGAGTAAGACAGAGCATCCCTTCATGAGTACATGGAGTAAGATGTTTAACATATCACTATAATGTCTGCAATTTTATTTAAAATTCAGTAACAGGTAAGTGTAAATTATATCTGATATGTATTCATGTTTCAAGACAGATTTTATATATATGTGTGTGCGTGTGTGTGTGTGTGTGTGTGTGTGTGTGTGTGTGTGTTTTTTCCTCAGATCACAGAGTCACCTCTGGGAACCATTCCTGCCTAATAGGCTACTGAGCCCTGAGTCCTCAGTCCCTCCCAATGCAGCCAATACAAAATGCCATTGTAGTATTAATCAGAATTTGTGGTCCCAAGTTATAGAATCCTGTGCAATTGACTTTAAACCAAAAGACAATTCTCTAACTTGGTTCATGTGACTAGAACTTCCAATGAACAGACATGAGTTACACAAAATTAAATTCAGAAATTCAAGTGCTATGTTCAAACCTCCCTTTCTCCTTCTCTTCCTGCTCCTCTCCTCCTTCTCCCTCTCCTCCCTCTCCCTCTCCCCTCCCCCTCTCCCTCTCCTCCCCCTCCCCCCTTCTCGATTTTATCTCTCAGTTCTTACAGTCTATGCATAACTTTTTTCTATAACATAGGTTTCACATTCACGTACACCAGCTTGGCAACTCCACTGAAGAGAGAACTCTCCCAGTGTCCCAAAATAAATTCTACAAAATGCTACATTCTGACTGGTATTTCCTGGATTAGGCTTTAAACAAGTCCTACAAAGTCAAAGATGGCCTCAAACTTCACTGATCATTTCAGGAGTGTAGGCAGTCAAGAGACAAATACAGAGCAGAAAAAGTTCTAGAACATTGCAGGTGGCTTCCAGATCCTACCTTTCTGTGATCTACGATAATGAGCAAGTTTTCTATAGAAGTTTTGCATACTATTCCACAAAGTGGGAGCATGTGATTTCTGAGACATCCCCATTTTATACCTCACCATTATACAATGGTGTAACATCCCATAACATCCTCCAGGGAGGCCAAGTTGCATAAGACAACAAATTCCAAACTAACTACAAGTAACCCTTGCCCCAGGGAAATCCTTCTGGAAGATTTTTGCATTAGAAAAAAAATTGTTCCTGATGAGGGGGCTGAAGAGTGTAGGAACAGAGTATTGGGAGAGACAACAGGAACCTATGGGGGTTGGAGGAGTGGAATTTGGGGAGTGAGGTAAAAACCTATTGCAATAGAAACTCCCAGGAATCTATGACAGTGACCCTAGGAAGACCCCTAGTAATAGGGAATACATAGCCATCTTCTGAAACCAGGCAAGGCTTCCAGTGAACAGACTAACAAAACCAGAAAACCTACAATTTTTTCTGTCTGCAAGATGTTCTGGGCTTAAAGGTGGCACAGAACTGGTAGGAGTGTCCAACCAATGACTGGTCCAGCTTGAGACCCATGTCACAAGAGGGAGCCCATGACACTGCCTGGAGGGCCAGAAACCAGTGACTGGATAATCCAGAGACCTAGAATAGAACCAAATATGACTGGGGGCGGGGGGAGTCAATGAAATGATTCCTAATGATACTCTGCTATATTTATAGACCAAAGGCTAGATAATCCTCATCAGAGAGGCTTCCTCCAACAACCAATGGAAGCAGATACAGAGACCCACAGCCAAACATTACATGGAGCTTAGAGAATCCTGCAGAAGTCAAGGAGGAAGGATTATAAGAGCCAGAGGGGTCAAAGGCACCACAAGAAAACTCACAGAATTAACTAACCAGGGCTCACAGGGGCTTACAGGGACTGAACTGACAAGCAGGGAGCCTATTTGGTGGTTCTCTGCATTTATGTTATAGCTGTGTAGCTTGGTGTGGAAATAGGGGCTGTCTCTGACTCTTTCACCTGCATTTGAAGCCCCTTTCCTTCCACTGTGTTGTCTTGTACAGCCTTAATATAAGAGCATGTGCCTAGTCTTATTGCCATTTTGTATGTCATGTTTGGTTGATATCCCTCAGTGGAGGAGGAATGGATCTGGGGAAGAGGAGGGGGGGTCTGGAGGAGAGGAGTGAGGGGCAAATGTGGTCAGGATGTAACATATGAAAGAAGAATTTTTTTAAAGCCTAGAAAGGGCAAATAACAGCCCAGCTTTTGTTATTACAAAAAGAGCTTTAGCTTCCTGACTTCCCTCAGGGATCCCAAGCATGCCCACGAGTCTGAGTTATATGTTGAGAACATGTCTGTTACTGCATTCCAGCTTTATCACCTTGGAGGAGTACTCTTGCCCTGAACCTGGTCTCCTTCATCTTGAAAAGAATAACGATATTTCCTTCCTAAGGTTGCTATGAAGATCAAATCTTTGCTCACATGAGTCTGAGGGCCAAGCCTGGCACAGAGAAAATGCCAGTTACTTTGTGATTTGTAATAAACAGCAATATTAATTACCAAAAAAAAATCCTTCCTTTTTTGTGAACTATTCTTCCATCTAGCTAGGTTGACCATCAGATTCAGCCAGGATGTTAGCTTGCTTTTTTCCCCTTCATAGGTTGCCCTTCTAAGAACAGAAGGGAATGACCTAGGGGCAGCTAATTTTCTTTCATCAGGAGACTAAATATTCTGATTGTGCTGTATAGGACAGGAATCCAAAACTGTCCCTGAGGCTTAAGAAATGTGAACCACCTGGAGTAGGGCATGCTAGAGCAGTCATGGTCCCAGTGGAGCTGACTAGACTGCTCCCAGACAAGAAGCTGAAGGGTCCTAATGATATAATTCTCTGCAGTTCATCTATTTCCCTGTAGTTTCTGCCTGCAAACAAGCTGTTTTGCTCCAGCTCTGTTTTGCAGCTCTCAGACTACAGCAACTGAAAAATGAATAATGGCAATAGACAGGGGAAAGACAGGTCAGATGCTGGGGCCTGTGAGACAGTGAGGCAAGAGAATGCCAGCCAGGGCTTACCCAGTAGACTTGGGTAAAAGAAGATTATTGTAGAGATACAGGAGTCCCCACTCTATCTCCTGATCTTGGATACATTTCTCTGCTAAACTCTACCACCAAATTCTAAACATAACTTAACTTTAAAGGCAGGAAATAGGAACAACTTCTGGCCTGACATAATACTTCAGTTGGCACTTTTTCTTTGGCTGAAACAGAATTTCAGATTTTCATGTCCTCAAATAGTTTGTCACATTCTCCTTCACCCCCTGGTGTCTTACTTGGGCCCTCAGTCATTCATTTTTGTTACTGTCTAGCTTCAGAAAATTTTGAGGGTTTTTTTTGACCCTTGATTTTACGATTTTTATTTGTGGCAAATAAATAATTCCCTTATATGAATGTAAATGTTAAAACTAGATTTTTTTACTTCAGTGTGAATGAGTTTTCTCAAAGGTCTTTCGAAAAACAAAACAAAAAAAAATATTTTTTGAGAATAGTGAAAGCAGAACAGAACGGGAGGACTAGGGCGAGAAAGGACTCAACAATCATGAAGAGCATCCTCGGGCAATGCCTGCAACATCAGTGCCTGAGGCTCACGCCTACTCTGTGTTCTTAATGACCCCATTCCATTCGAATCCTTTAAGGATAAAGCTTATTGATCATGTTCTGATTCTTGTAATGGGATCGACATCAATGCATTTAACTTCCCTGCCCTACTTGAGTCTGCCTAAAATCTAGTTTTCTTATACATACACAGATGCATTTATACCTTTGCACACCTTTAGGAGACTGTGGTACAATTCTTTTCTCCCACAACCATCAGCTCTGTATTTATTGCCCAAGTGAATGCTTTTAGCATCTCAAATCCAGTTCTTAACACTGTAATGAAATACCTGAAAGGCCTTTGTCAGCTAAAAGGTGTTTGAATTTTGTCAGTTTGTTTGTTCATTCATCTATTGATGGACAGCTTCAATCATGTTAATCAAAATGATGACTTTTTACTGTAAATTTTTATGTATCTTTTCTGTTGTTCCACTACCCTGACCCAACATGTACTCAAGAAAGCACAACAGGGGATCTGCAGCTGACACCTTACACAGCTTTGCTTTTCAGACTCCAGCAGGGCCAGCCTCCTTGACCTAATTAGATTTCTCCACCTCCACATGGCTAGTAAATACTATAATTAATTTATAAAGGACTCTGAAACACCAGCTGGCAAATAAATTCCACCAGATTCCTACGAAATGAGAAAGAGCAGTTAAGTTGAAGAGTTATGAAGTGTGTGTGTGCCTGTGCATGCATCCTATCCACTGACTTTCTGAAATGTCAATTATAAATTATATCAAACACACACAATTCGATCATTTTTTTACAATACATTTATTTTAAATTGTCAGGTAAACTGTGTGACAAAATATGCTCAAAGATGTAGCTTTGAAGTCTGTGAAATATGAGGGTCCATACAAATTCATATGGAAATTCATATTTTCTGAGCACACTAATTAACTAGTGGCTGTTCTAAAAATAGTGAACAATCAGTTAAAGAAAGAAAGATTTCATGTGCTGGCAGCAGTTACCCATTCAAGAGCCATGGTTGGCAAGACCTAAAAATGGCTTCTAAGATCCCAGTGAACTGGGTTATAACCTCTCCCTGAATATAGACAGGGTTTGAGAGTATAATGGGATGTTCCTCCTTTGATTAGTTTACGTAGTATAGCAAAAGTGGTGGAATCATTTCTCCTATGGTGTCACATTGAATATAAGACTCTAGCCACAACAATAGCTGTCGTAAGCAGCTGTAACAGCAGCAGCAGCAGGACTGGGAGAAGCTCTCCTGTTGGCTTCGGAGCAATGAGCTCCATGTTTTCAGAGGGCCACGTGATGCACGTCTGAGGTCCGTCTCTAGGAGCTGTGAGAAAGCCCTGGCCAATATCTGGAAAGAAAATGATGACCTCAATACTCAAAGACTTATCTCTAAAAATCAGCAACCAGAATAGTTCAGAACAATCCAGGCTTCAGTTGGGATCACAACTACAAATCTATACCTTGATATTGCATGGTGAGACATTGAGCAGAAAATCCAACTAAGTCCTTTTCAGCCTTCTCAGCAACAGAAGCTGGAAGATTATTAACATGTTGTTTGTGCTACTAATTTTGTGTTAAATTGCTATTCAGAGAGAGAGAGAGAGAGAGAAAGAGAGGGAGAGAGAGAGAGAGAGAGAGGAGAGAGGAACAAGAAGAAAAAAGAAAAAACCCACCAATACAACAAGCTACCTCTTTCTTTGTCATTTTCCCACATGGAATCTCCTAGCAACTATCATGGCCCGGAAGACATGACATAACCAACTGGGTCACAGGTGCACACAGAAACAGACCAGGGCATCTAGAACCTTGTGGGATATAAAGTTACAGCTAAGATATTACACTGGGGTCTGCAGAAGTAGACTGCTTATCAGAAGTACCTGCTATCAGTATCCAGCAATGCTATGCAAATATCCAAAACATTTGGAGATGACTAGGGAGGATCTCTCTAGCAACAATTTGATTATAAAAGTAATTACAAGTTATGAGCCCATCTGAGATATAGCAATTTATTGATAAATATCTGGGGTAAGGAAAATGTGCTACATGGTTACTTATTGTCCAGTTAGTGCATATGAAAATTTTCCCTGTTCCCAGGAGGAACCTGTTTGATTTTTTTGTCACAAACACCATTCCTGGTTAATTTCATAGGTGTCACAGCAAGGAGAAGGTGGTGACACTGTTATTCACAGAGACATATTCTGCAGCCTTTCTTAGTGAAGCAGCATAAATGGTTTGCCTTTTTGGTTATCTAATGCCATCTGTTCAGAGCCTATTGAGTCACTACTCATATCCCACAATATCCATTGTGCAGTCTGTGAGCCATTTTCTTTAATGACCCTCAAAACAGCATCAGTGTGTTTGAGGAAGAGGACCCAAACATAAGTGTTACCCAGAAAACATGCTAGGTTATGTTACATTATGCTATGTTATTTTGCATTTAAAAACCCATAAATAATTGTTGGCATATGGTAGCATTTATAGAGTGTATAGCATTTACAAGGCAGCCCATCTTCCATCTACAGCTTCTGATACCTCTAGGCCTTACTCATGGCAACTCTGGAATTTGAACACTGCAATGCCACCTGGGACCCTGACTACCTTCATAGCTACCAGCAGTAAGGACAGGTGTAGGACCCCAGGTAAGTCATGAAGCCCTCTCTTATTAGAGTAAGCAATGATCATCATCTGAACAAGACTTTCAACTACCCAAGAGAGCAGGGTGATGCTGTGTCAATTAAAAGCAAGAAAAGACATGGCTGAAAAGGAAAAGCTAGTTTTGCAGGAAAAGCCCTGGGAAGACACAAGAGTAACTACAACTGCTTCCTACCACAGCATCTGGAACCCTAGAAGGCAAAAGCAATGGAGGCAGAGGCAAACAAAAAGAGCCTATAACTACCTGTACCTCTCTGGGGAAAGGGCAGCATCCACACACAACTTCACAAATGTGATTTCTCCAAAGTTCAGCAGTGTATAGTGGGAAGGCCAGAACTCTGACCCTATCCTGGGCAATCACACATCACTTTTTAATCAGTTGTCAGCACCCTTTCAGTGATCCAAACTTGTATGATCCCATTTTAAAAAATACTGTCCTGGTCAGTGGGAACGTTAACAATGCCTCCTCCCTCCAGAGCCTGACATGGAAATGCAACCCTGGCTCATCTCACATTAAGACAGCTCCAGAGATCTTATGGGACATACACAACAGCAAGAGAGTATCCTGAGAACCTCAAAACCTGAGTGTCTCATCACTACTACCAGAGGACAATAAAACAGCCCAGGGTTTCTATGGAATAGGACCCACAAGGGAATATGTTTGGAGTAGCCCAAGACACAAGAGACTGTGATCTCTACAAGGAAGGTTTCCCTAAGCACAGCTAGGCCAGGCCAGGCTAAGAGCCTGCTTGCTCAGATCCAAGCATGATATTACAGCCTCTGACTGACTGTTGGTCTTAAGAGATAAAGTGTACCACAAAGCACAAGAGCTTTTCTACGCCCCCTTTCCAGACCTCAACTGTGTGCTCTTACCCAACATTCCATGAGACCCTCTTCGTAGAACCATTTTAGACTCCTCTTTTGCCTGTTGTGGTTTGGTTTTAGTGGGAGCATTTAAAGCATATATGCTGATGTTGGCTTTTAGCAAGTAGAGAGAGCCATAACGGAAGAGCTAAAGATTTTTTTAAAATATGTAAGCTCAAAAAACTTAAATATGCCCACAATAGCTAATTAACCTCTCAGAGACCAAGATTTGCTTGTCTGCATGATAATTTATCCATCTATAATACAGCATTATGTATAAGAGTAACTTGCGTGGATATTCCACTCTGAATGTTTCATCATGATAGGTTAAGTGTATCCAGGAGATGGGACAAAATTACCAATCAAAGGATTGGAATAAAAAAATTGGTAGCTGTATTTTTCTTTCATTCTAACAGAAGGAGAATCACTCTTTACCCTAGGAATGTCACTCCCTGCAAAGCCATATATGGCCTTTGAACTCACCTGTTGAGGTTATTGGCAGACATACTTTTAAGTTGTACTTATTCTATCTCAGATTCGCTGTAGAGGACTTTCTATTGACTCGACTCTCCCAGAAGTTTTCATTGCAGTCACTCCTTTATTACAATAACTGCATGCCAATTTACTAACTATGGTCACAATCCCCAGTCTCAATGATAATCACTATACAAGACTAATTCTGAAGAATTAAACTGAACATAAATAGAATGATACAGACTTTTCCATTTTGTGTCTGGATTTCTCAGTTTAATGTGGGTGACATTCATGGTATTCAATGCAGCTTCAATGTCATTCTTAATTGTTGCATGTTACATTTTACTAAATGACTATGTGATTATCTGTTTGCTCTGGCTACCACTGACAAAGTCTGGAAACTTACAACTGGGAGCAACGTGAGTAACGAAGTTATGAACTCGGTTATACATACCTTCAATAGAAACTTTTGCAGGGCTTAGAAAACACCCTGAGAAGTTTCAGGGTTACAATGTATGCATCCATTTGTTCAGATTTAGTGGGGTCTGACAAGTATTTTCCAAATAAAAAAAAAATGCTACTTGACTTGCTCTGGGGTTACATAAAGTTCACTGGATTAAAAATTCCATAAGACAAACCTATGATAAGTTGAAAATGAATATACCTGAGGGTAATAGCTTTGTGACACTGTACACTATAGAGTATAGGTCCTTCATGATAGCTCACTGTTATTATCCAGAATCTCAAGTATACCAATATCATTACATTATGAAATGCTCACGATTCAAACTTTGAAACACCTTGGGTACCATATTCACACCATGATGAAACTAAAATAGTATAAATCAACCCAGGCGCAGTTGAGGACAATCAGGTGTGTCTGCAATCAATAAGGACTCTGGCCACCCTCTAACCCTCTTTGTTCACTTTGATAGATAGGTCGTAATTTTACACATTCTGGTTTTAATTTGCACTTCCTGACTTGCAGCAACAGAGGACAGGACAGGTTCACTACTGTTTGTCTTTCTCCATTAACCATATGGAAAACTTAGATAAAACACACCCTTATCTCATCTATGGGCAAACTACCACAGAGAACCAAAGCTTAGTAGTATGGGCTTGTTGATGGTTGTTTCATTTTGTTTTGCTATTTTCTTTTGTAGCTGGCCAGGCAGCTAGCTAGTAAATCTGTAGTAACTGCACAATCGATAATAATTGAATCAATTTTTTAAAAAAAGCACACATTTTTTTCCAGCTATATGAACTGGGGAAATGCACATCTGTGAGCTACCAGTTCATAAGGAAATACTTAATTTCACAGCTCTCTTCCCACTCAGAGTGAAAGTATAGGAGAAACTATACTTTGACAAGGAGAGGAAGTTTCTGTAGTCTTACAAGTGTGAAGAAAAAAAATCCCACACCTTTCTCTTTTCCCTCACCACTTTGCCTTGTGTTAGAGCCCTAGTCAAATGCTACAGCTATGATAAGCTGCTAAAAATCCAAGGGAAACCTTGTATTTCTCACAAAAGGGCCAAGAAAAGGGAACACTGCAAGACAGACTACATGAGAGAAAAGAAAAAGATGGATGGAGAGATGTCTCCTCCAAATCTAGTATGAACCTACATAAGTTCTGTGCTCAAGTATCAACTGAACAAAGTGGGATGGAAATGATTCATGTAATGAACTACAGTTAAAAGTACTGTTAAGACACCAAACGAATCCAAGTGTTTATGTATAGGACAGACTCAAGATAACAGGGAATGGAGAGTTGGCTCAATGATTAAGAACACTGACTGATTTTCCAGAGGTCCAGAGTTCGATTCCCAGCACCCACATGGTGATTCACAACCATCTGTAACTCTAGTTCCAGTGGGTCCACACCTTCCCCCTGGCCTCTGAGGGCACCCTGCATGCATGTGGTACACAAACATATATGTAGACAAAACACCCACATACATAAAAACAATTTGTTCAAAGCACAGCAAATACTCAGAGGAGCCAACTGATATAGAACCAGTACTCACACGCAAGACTGAGCTTGTGTTGCCAACCCAAGGATTGCTTGCTAAAAGAAAATAAAAATTCCACATTACCCAAGATAAAAATCCAGGGGGGAAAAAACAGTGATTGTACAATACAAAACAACTGGGAAGATGTGGACAACTATCAAAATAAACAACCAACAGCTTTCAAGCGAGAAGATCAAAATGGATATAATTACTAAAGGTGTTAGACATTAAAACCAAAACAGTTTAACAATTTTTCTCCTGGATACAAGCTATATGCTAGAAACCCATGTAAATGCCAGAACCCATGTGCACAAATGAGCACATGAGTGTCGATCAACAACGGTAAAAGATGGGGTTTGGAGGGTAACTGTAAGAATATTTGCATGCGCTTTGTGACAAAGTGCAGGGTTTGTGGCTTAACTGTCACAAGAAAGAATTGTGAATACGTATAACTGAAATAAAGGTGAGCTACATGCAACTATCTGCAAACTCAGAAACTATGCTGAACTAAAAGCAACCTCTGTAACAGCAAACTGTTCCTATTTCTCACTTTAAAAAATAAGCATACAGTATATGAACCAAGTCTTTTATAAAGCAAGAGGATAAACCCAAAGGGTCAGTGTTAAATCTGGGAAAAGGTAGTGAGTTGGGATCAGAAGACACCAGTAATTGTGTCAGTACTGACAATGTCCTATTTCCTCTGTGTACAGGGCTTGTCTCTTACACATATTAAATATATATATATATTTTTTTTGGCTAAAAGAAAAAAAAAGAAGCTGGATCCTTTATTACTCACAGGAAGAAAAAAGCCTTTTACTTTTTTATTGCTGAAAGTTTTTTAAAAAATCTTCTTTCTGTACTGAAATTAAGAAAACATTCCTCCTTTTTAAGTCCATCTTAATTCTTATACTTTCTCAAGATAAAGGATCACATTTTTTTTCAAGCATCATTGCATTCCTGAAGTTCATTGCAAGTTTAAGACATAAATTCAAATCAGAAATCAAATAAGGAGTTACAGCAGAATTGTTTACATTAAGATTAGCACCTAACTAAACATCCATTATCTAACTTCTAGCTCTGTAATTTCATTAAAATTAAAAAAAAATGTATTATAAGCCAGCATGGTTTTGTCAAAAGGCAAATCATGTACATTTTGTCTTATTAATTTTGTAGTTTTGTACAAGTAAATCAGTCAACATTTTAATTTCTGTCCTTGCACTTACAATAAATTGCCCATTCTCAGTTTATGACCTTAGAGAAGGGAGGAGATGTCAGGGGCAGCCCTGCTTACCCACTGAAGGCCTAAAATCAGCCATAGGCCTAAAATCAGCAATAGCCCTGTCATACATGTATACTAACACTAAGTCTTGGGTCTCAGTGGAAAAACATTGAAAGAGATGGCTATAAGCTATTGTAAACAGGCAGCTTTTGTGGAAATTTACAAGCCTGAGTAGTCATAGACCTTGTAAATAGGTAGCCTGGGCAGACAATACCAACTTAGATAAGGACAAGCGAGTTATAGGCAGAGTCATAGTGACTTGTCCTCTGAACCTTCACCCAGCCGATACCCGGTTCTGAAGATATCTGTATTCCCTCTGAACACCCACACTCCAGTGTCATTCCCTTCCCCACATCCTGCCTTTCTGTGTTTATAACCCCTGTGTGAATGGATTACGATTTGAGAAAAAATATATATAATAAAGAAAAAAAAAAGAAAATCAAGGAAACATTCCTTCTAAGATGGCTATGAAACCATTATCTGATAACTAAAGGTCATAAACTGAGAATGGACACATATTAAATATTTTAAAAGCTAAGTTTTAAAACAACAGCCCAAAAAGAAAGTTGTCGCCCTTTTATTAATATGACTTTTCCAGCCAAATACTAAGCAGCCTGACTACATAAGCCAGGTGGAGCTAAAAGTGAGACCCCTGTGTTCTCACAGGAAAAAGCCTAGCGTTTTGACGTGGCCTACAGAAGACTGACAGAGGTTCCAAGTGGTATGAACGAAACAGTAAAGTCTGGGACGACCTGGGCTAAGCCTCAGGCTCTGTCCAAAAATTAAAATAAAATAATCTTCTCCAGAGACTCGAACCGCCCACCTTATCGCTCGCCCCAGTGAACCCTAGGCAACGCGCAAGCCCGTGGGCTTTCAAGCCTCGCCGAGTCACTTCCGCCTCTGCACCATAGCCCCGCCCCGGAAGCGGAAATGCCTTTCTCTAGGGTCCTTCGGCCTGCTGCGAGCGCTTCTGCGATGGCTGTCGGGTCGGGCTGTCCTCTCAACGCCTGCTCAGGAACGCGGTAAGGCCGCATCGAGGCAGAGCCCCAGAACGGGCTGCTGGCTCTCGGGCGTCATCTCCGCACCGCTGCTCCAGGCTTGCGGCCGGGCTCTCTGCGTTCTCCCCCACCCCCAGGGAAGGGCGGGTCCGGCGGCGCGCGGACAGCCCGGCGCGAGGCCCCGCGGCTCCGGTGGGGACGTCGCTGCGGGCGGCACTGCTGCTGGCGTCCAAGATGTCGACCAAGAATTTCCGAGTCAGTGACGGGGACTGGATCTGCCCTGACAAAAAGTGAGCGCGGCGGGATGGCGTGGGGCCGGGGGTGGCGGGGAGGTCCCTGTGAGGGTGGCGACGGGGCCGCGGCCTTTGTGGGGACGGCGGGGCGGTCGCCGCCGGCCTTGAGCGGTCGCGGGCGGCCCGCACGTGACCCCGCGCGGAGCTGAGCTCTCAGCTCAGTGGCCCTGCTCCGAGCTCTGCCGGGGCCGCTCACTCTCCCTCCCTCCCTCCCTCTGGCCGCCGTGCCTTCGGGCCTGCTGACGGTCCCCAGTGACTTGGCTTTTCTCACTCAATTGCCGAGAAGAGGCAGGAGGCCTGGGCGCGTATGTGGCCGGGAAGCCGGTGTGTTCCGCTTATGTCCACGGAGATCAGATAGATACTCAATAGGTGTCGATATTTTTTTTTAAAGTGATGTACCAGCTCGTGTTCTTGGAAAGCCAGAGCCAAAGCTGAAGGAAGCCCGGGTTTACTGTTAGTTCTATCTACTGCAGAGCGTCTAGCTTGAATTACCTTTGCTAGAAAATACATTGCTCGATTACAGTGAACACCGAAATAACATGGGTTAGTGAGTGTATTGGAGAGCAAGGAAATGATGTCACTCATATTCACTTGGTTGGGATCTGACTGATGTTATCAGGCTTAAAGCACACCCAAGTCATCAGACTAGAGCCGAGATCGTCTTGGGCTGACACTGCAGGGAACTGTGTGACACTTTGGAACCCTTCAGCCATTAAGACACCGGCCTCTACCTTCTACGTGACTCTTAGAAAATGCGCTCTATGTTCTTACTGAAAACACCCATGTTTTCTGAGGATTCTTCCTTCAAAGTACTGTATACCTAAACTCAGCTGAAACAAAATGTTGTTTCCATTGAATATATAAATCAAGGAGACAGTTTTCAGACTATATTTTCAGTGTTACTTGAAAAGTGTGTATCTTTTAACAGAGAAAAGCGACCTTAAAGTTGTATGGAGTCATTCAGTTTAGTCTCCCACTTGTTTATCTCATTCTTTTTTTTTTTTTTTTTTAGATCGAGTGGTGACTTCTTTTTTTGTTTCTTAAGCATAAAATTCGTGCTTTAACTGATAATACTATAGTCGTGTAAATGTATAAAAACTTAAATATATAATGTCATAAGGTTACACTTTTTCTGCTTCTTGTGGTTGTTTCTTGTTCCTTGCAGTTTTAGATTTGATAAATACTATAATTACTCTAATTTCTTTACTATTTAATTATGTTTTTTGTTAATTAATATAGCCAGTCTTTTTGTTATCATCCCACTTTCAACCTCTCAGAGAACATTTACTCAATTCTCTGGAGTCCTTCTGTACGTGTTCTTTCCTGGTGGATCCATCCCTAGGATGTTGTGATATTTATTTATTTATTTATTTATTCTTCTAGACAGAGTTTCTCTGTGTAGCCAGGGTTGTTCTGGAACTCACAGAGGTCTGCCTCCCTCTGGCTCACAAGTGCTGTGATTAGAGGTTTGTGCTGCCACTACCCAGCTTGAAATTTTATGCTTCTTTTAAAACTCACCATATTTATTACTTGTATTGGAAAAAAAAAATCCTTTTTTTTTTTTTTGCTTTTGTTTTTTTTGTTTGTTTGTTTGTTTGTTTTTTCGAGATAGGGTTTCTCTGTGTAGCCCTTGCCGTCCTGGAACTCACTCTGTAGACCAGGCTGGCCTTGAACTCAGAAATCCGCCTGCCTCTGCCTCCCAAGTGCTGGGATTAAAGGCGTGCACCACCACCGCCCGACCCTTTTTTTTTTTTTTTTAATCTCTCTGGTATCTTGTCTAATTGTTATAGAAGAGTCTGTTGACACTTTGGAACAAAGGATTTTTATGTAACTAACGATACATGCTAGTCTGAAGATAACAAGGTTTGGATCCTGATATGATTCCCATAGCTGTAAGCACAAGGCTGAGATTTTTAACCAGCTCTTGTTTCTCCCCGCTGATGTTGATAGTAACATGATGAGATAAGCTTGTTCTATGTTCCGGGTGTAATGAGGACAGTAACCTGTAAACATTCTTATAAGTATCTAGAAATTACTACTTTAAGTGCTTCTTGTTTTATTTTCAGGTGTGGAAATGTAAACTTTGCTAGGAGAACCAGCTGTAACAGATGTGGTCGAGGTGAGTGCTAACGAACAATTCTCTTAATGCTGTATTTGCAGATCATTTCTTTATTTCCTAGGATTTATCTTTTTTTTTTGTTTGCAGAGAAGACAACTGAGGCCAAGATGATGAAAGCTGGGGGAACAGAAATAGGAAAGACACTGGCAGAGAAGAGCCGGGGCTTATTTAGTGCCAATGATTGGCAATGCAAAACGTATGTGCTTCATATTGCTGTCTGTTACTGCAACAAATATTCCAATCACCACTCATTAACATGATGAACTCTTGCTAATTATGTGACAAGACGTTATGCCATTTTAACTCAAACATTTATTGGTCTAGGTCTAAGTATAATGAAAGGGAAATTTTAAGTGATATCTCTTAGGGGTGTTACCAGTGGTTGCTGTGGTAGTGTTTAATGAGCTGATAACCAGAAGGCTGGGGGACATTGAAGATACAGTGGTCTACATTTTCCTAAATAATTGCACAATTTGGGATTTTGTTTTGTTTTTACTTTTTGTCTCTTTTATAATATGGAAGTAACTTGAAAAATCGTAAGTTGCCTTCAATAAAAATTGCTTCTGGTTAGATTTTTATTTTTTTTTTTTTTTTATCGTTGCCTTTTAGGCTGGAGAGGTGGTTAGCCCTTAAGAATGCTCTTCCTGAGGACGCAAGTTCCATTCCCAGCAGCCACATGACAGCTTTTAAAAAAAATACAGTATTTTTTTCTTTCAAGTTCAGATTTCATTTTGTACTGATTTTCTCAATCTCCACATTTTGTGCTATGTAAATAAATCCTACATATATGAAAGAGCACTAGACCAGAAAAGCATCTTACATAAAGTCCTAGTCCTGTAGACAGACCTTGAACCTGTACAGGGAAGTTGCCTTACAAACTAAGTCACAGGATTTAGTGGGCTGCAAAGGCTTTCTTAGAGGGGACTAAGAATAGCAAACATATTTGTGAAAAGTGAGACCATACTCTGTAAGGTAGATTCAGAGATGATAGGACATGGAACCTTTGATTAAAGCATTATATCACTTCTCGGTATAATTTATATTGAATAGATTTTTTTAATTTAATTTCCATTATTCCTTAGTGAACATTACTTTGTACTAATTATTTCACCATAATGTTTTGAATGTTTTTTCGGTGTTTAGCGGCCTTCTGGTTTAATGTCTTTTGGTTTTGTTTTATAATTGTAGTTGCAGTAATGTGAATTGGGCTAGAAGATCAGAGTGTAACATGTGTAATACTCCAAAGTATGCTAAATTAGAAGAAAGAACAGGTAAGTAGAATTACACTACTTTCTCGAGAATATAGGAAAAAAGGGAATCTATCAATTGTGTGTGTGTGTTCTGTATGAGCCCTAGATGGCCTCAGACTCAATATATAACCAAGAATAGCTTTCACCTCTCAGCTTCTGCCTCATCCTGTGTGCTGGTATTATAAGCATGTACCACCACACCCTATTTACTGTTTGTTTTTTTTCCCTTAGCACTCAAAATTTTTTTTATGTAATAGTTTCAATTTATGAAGTAGTGTTTGGCAGCCTTACACTAGCATTTAGGGTTCTGGGATACTTCCATAAATGCTTTTCTGCCTCCTTTGCTTGGTGGGTGCATGGTAGTTAGTAATGATAAAGCAATAGCATATATTCTAGTGTGACAGAAAGGTAAAGGACTTTTTTTTTTTTTTTTTTTTTCTCAAGACAGGGTTTCTCTCTGCAGCCCTTGCTGTCCTGGAACTCACTCTATAGACCAGGCTGGCCTTGAACTGAGAAATCCGCCTGCCTCTGCCTCCCAAGTGCTGGGATTAAAGGCGTGCACCACCGCCACTTGGTGGTAAAGGATGTTTTAAAGACATCCTATAAAGCTTAAAACTTAAATCTTTTTTTTTTTTGGTTTTTCGAGACAGGGTTTCTCTGTATAGCCCTAGCTGTCTGTCCTGGAACTCACTCTGTAGACCAGGCTGGCCTCAAACTCAGAAATCTGCCTGCCTCTGCCTCCCAAGTGCTGGGATTAAAGGCGTGCGCCACCACTGCCCAGCTTAAAAATTAATTCTTAATATTCGCCACATTTTAGATGTTAGAGAAACGTATAGCTACAAATTACAAAGCATAAAACTAAAATCTTTTTTGTTGTTGTTTTGTTTGCATTTTTCTTTTTACTGTTTTAAGAATTTTATGTGTGCATGTGTGTTTTGATCAAATTCATAAGACTGACATTCCCTCACATCCAGTTTTTCTCCTAACCCTACTACATGTTCCCTCTTCAATTTCATGTCAATATTTCAATCAATATCTCCCCTCTCCCCTCTCTTTTTAAACCACTGAGTACAGTTAGTGCTGGCTGTATATGTGTAAGTATAGGACCATCTATCTACTGGAGCATGGGTAGCTTTCATGGCATGAAGCTTACATTGCCTCCTGATAGCCTTCAATTGCCAATAATATCCCAGCTTGAATGGGACTTTATAGACCCTGCCCAGTTTATGCTGGAACTTTGGCCCCTTGACCTTGTTAGAATGTCTTTGTACACATAGTCATAGCCACTATAAGTTTGTGTGCTAACAGTGGTCCAGCTATTAACCACCATGTACCTCACTCCCCCAGCTTTTAAAATCTTTCCATGCCCTTTTGGGGATCACCAGCCTTAAAGGAAAGGATATGGTATAGATGTGCCATTCAGAGCTAAGCATTCCACACATTGACTGCACATTGCTTGGCTGTTGGCTTCTGTATTAATCTCCAACTCCTGGGAAAAGAAGCTTCTCTGGTGATGGTTAGGAGATGCACTTGTCTGTGGGTATAAAGATAAGAACACAGGTGCACGTGTCCCTTCACTGTGTCCATTTACCAGTATCATTGTGTCAGGCTCCTTCCAGTATCTGTGATCTACCTGCCATGGAATATTTTTGCCCTGTTAATGCTGCCATGCTTAAGTCTGTCTTCTGTAGAGAGCTTTAAATCCAATCAGAATTTGTTTTTTTCCATAACATGGTGTACCATGTTGTACCAGTGCACTTCTCTGGAAAGGCAGGATTTGCAGCTGAGTGAAGACTGTTGATTACCTTTCTTCCCTTAGTAGTGTACATAGAACCTTCAAGCACTATGAAATTAGCCAGTAAGGATAAAGCTTTCGCATCAGTACCAGCTTGATTGCTCCCATGTCCTGTGACTCAGGTGTATAGTACTTCTTGTAAGAGCATCATATTGTCAAATAACCATGAAAGTGTCAACTCTTGGGCTTGCTTGAGAGTGGGTCCCAAAAACTAGTAATTGTGTGGATGATATATGGTAATTGTTGAATTAAGTAATCACGAACTTGTTTCTGTATGTCAGTGGAGAACCTCAGCAGAATATAATTTTTCTATTGCCAGCAATTAACCCAACCATTGTCAAAGACAGTGCACATATTCAGCATGCAAGGTTCCTGAGTAGGTAAAACTGCTTCCCTCGTTTGCCTGTTCTAAGTTCATACCACTGTCTCTGTTTGATTTTGGGGAAATCAGAGGTCTAATGGTAGGTAGATCTTTTGGATCAAGTCCTTCCAAATTTTCTTTACCCGCATTTGTTTGGTTGTTCATTTATTTATAATTCTTGATGTTCAAGAGCCTTACTACCTAACTTCCTAGGTGTTCTATTTCATCCCTTGGATTCCATCTCTTAACTCCCAGAGACAGCTTTGCCTTCTGCAAGTGCTGCCCTGATTGTCTCCTTCCTCTCGGTGCTCTTTGTCTCCCTATATTATTCTACATACCATCGTACCACTGGGTTTGGACTCTTGAAGAACCTTCTTTGAACCCTCTTTCCTTTGTTTACTGTATATTTTCTTCTAAAGCCAAAGTCTTAAGTAACAATATCAAATTTCTTTGAACTGCCTATACAGCTGTTTATCTTACATTGTGATGTAACTGTCAAATTCATTATATTATAACTGAATGTGAGGTTTCCTCCTACGACATAGCTTCTTGAAGAGATCTGTGTCTTGTGATGAGTACTGCCCACATTAGGATGTGCCCCTCAGGTGTATGCTTCCTGTCACTTTGTTCATCTTAACCCTACCTTCAAAGTCTGTGTTACCTAATTTAAGTTTAACCCATGGTACTTAATTAATAGCCCAAAATCTGGAAGAATTATAATGGAGAAGAAATTCCTTGTAAAATTTTGTCATAGCAGAAAAAAGTTTTGTGTATATATTTCATGAACGACAACTTGTCATGGGAATGTTTTAGGTTGTAAACATCTGTAGGGACTGCTGTGCTTTACAACTAAAGTAGATCTGACTTGTTTTCTATTATAGTTTTTAACTTGTAAACGATTAGTGATTAGTTATGTAAATGACCATCATTTATTAGATTTTCATTTTGTGTTAGCTGGGAAAAGTGAGCATAATTTTGTTGAGTTGTTACAGCAATTTATACTCTCTTTTTAAAGGATATGGAGGTGGTTTTAATGAAAGAGAGAATGTTGAATATATAGAAAGAGAAGAATCTGATGGGGAATATGATGAGGTAAGCTCTCAGATGTGTACATTTTAAGTTAGAGAAATGTTAAAAAAAAATTCCTGCAGTTCAGAAAAGCTGTATGTGCATGGATGTGCGAGTTCAGTAGAGGGGGTGCATGTGCCCTTGTGTGCATCTGTAGAGGATGTAGGGTCATATTTCTCATTGAACCTATAACTCAACCATTGGCTGGACTGACTGACTAGTGGGAGAATCTCCACCTCTACACACAAGTGCAGGGATTACAGGCTCACATATCCACATCTGCCTTTCCACAGGGATACAAATAGGTTTTGAAAATATTTTTATGTGTTTTCAGCCTGTATTAATATTTTGAATTTTTTTCTCTAGTTTGGACGTAAAAAGAAAAAATACAGGGGGAAAGCAGTTGGTCCTGCGTCTATATTAAAGGAAGTCGAAGATAAAGAATCAGAGGGAGAAGAAGAGGATGAGGATGAAGATCTATCTAAATATAAGCTAGATGAGGTAATTAATGTTCCCTGTCCTCTCCTTTCTCCTTTATGTTACTGTAACTGTTCTCAAGCACAAGATGCTTTTGAAACCTGGATCATTGTTGACCTACATCCTCATGGAGGAGCCAGGTACTTGTTCCAGGTTTGTTCCTGAACAGTTTTCAAATTATCTTTCTCCTTTCTAAAATAGCTTTCATACCTTTTCCTGCCCTGGTCCCTCTGGCTTTGGCTTTGTTTTCTTGAATGTATTTGCAATTTTTTGAAAATGTCTTATTGGTAGCTTTATGTATGTGTGTTCCACCCAATATCCTCAGTGTCTAGAACAGCATCTGGCAAGAAAGGCATTGAGGGAAATATGAATAGAAAGTGAATGGGGCTGAAACTGTACCTCAGATGGTGGTGTTCAGGAACAAACTCTGTTCTTCAGAGTGATGAGTGTCAGCACATTGTAGCATTAGGTGCACAGAACCAAGCAAATGGTTGTTGTAATTCAGAGGACAGAAAACAGTATTCTAAACTAAGGCTGGTGGTGGTAGTGGTAGACCAAGGACTCCTGACAGAACTGAAAATTGCTGACAGTTTGGTATATAAGAATCAGTGGGGTGACTTCTAGGAGCCTGTCTGAATTGTCTATCAAATGATTTTAGTGGATGAACTCTCAAATTGAAAATAAGCTTGCATTAAAATTTGGTAACAGACCCATCTGAAAATGTTTGTCCTTTTTTATGGATAAATATTTATCCTTTTGGATAGATAGTATTAATACATCAATGTCTAAATGGAATTAAAATTTCATCAGGACGAGGATGAGGATGATGCTGATCTCTCAAAATATAATCTTGATGCCAGTGAAGAAGAAGACAGTAACAAAAAGAAAAGCAATAGGCGGAGCCGCTCAAAGTCACGATCGTCTCACTCAAGGTCTTCATCACGCTCATCCTCCCCCTCAAGTTCAAGGTCCAGGTCCAGGTAAACGGGTGCAGGCCAAGGGTAACACCAGTCAAAATGTCAGTATCTAACTTTTTACTATTTAATTTAAATAAGCTCTTTATTTTAAATATTTAAATGAAGTCACCTTAGCAACACTTTATCTTTGTATCCTGCAAATACTGCTCTGTATTTTTAGAAATTCTAAACCTTAGAAGTTGCCTGTTCTGTGTCACCCTTTTGGCTTTGACTAGAGTACCTTAAGTTCAAAAGCACTGTGTAAGCAACGTATATCTAAGTAGGTAGTCTATGTTCAGGTATTGTTAAGTAAAGTGGAAACTTATTTCAATATGGTAACGTTTGGTTTTTAGATTTTTCTGAGCATAAATGACACACAATTTTTGAAATAGTTTATTTTGGTGTCAGTCTTCTGAATAGAGAATAAATCTAATCATAATGCTAATGCTTCCAGAGAGTCCAAGATATGAAGATGTTGAAAGCGTTTGATACTATAATTAAAACTAAACAATGCTTTTATATGGCTTAACACTCATGAATGGTCAACTTTTTAATGATATTTAAGAATAAAATATGTTGCCAGTTACTTAATTAGTACTGTGAAGCCTGAAAGTTCTAGTGTTGAGGATCAGGAAAATATACCTCAGTGATAGTCTTGTTTAGCATGTATGGGGCTCTAGGCTCAATTCCTAGTCTCTCCCCCCACCCCCAAAAAAGTTGATTCTGAGATAATTGTGATAGTCTCTCTGTGGGAACAGACTAAAAATGGTGTCGGGGATGTCATTTGTGGTTTTCAGAGAGTGAGGGCTATACTTCCCTTAGCTCTATAGTCTCTTAGTAATGCAATTGATATAAAACACTGAGTTGCTGAATCTTTAACTCTCTACAAATGAAGACTAGACATCAAAATGTGATGCAATTAGGGTTTTCTGCCTACTAGACACTGGAAATAGGTTTTCAAATGAAAATGAAAAGAGCACTGGAGAATTTAAATGTAAATGTAACATTGTCTATAGTGAACTGGTTCTTGTTACTTCACTTTTGGTAGTTTAATTAGGCTTGGAAAGTGATCATTGATTTTTTTTTTTTAACTTAGTCTTTATTGCAGTAAAAAGCTTTGTTTCAATGCTTTCGAAAATGCATATCTTCCATAGACACCTTTTTATGTGAAAAATGCACTCTTAATATATGTCTTTCTTTCAGTGTTCATATCACAAAGCTCAAAAATATGGTCCTAGGGGAAAAAAATGCTTCCGTGTTGTTCCAGGTCCCGTTCAAGAAGTTCTTCCAGCTCGCAGTCCAGGTCTCACTCCGGTTCCAGAGAACATTCCAGATCCCGTGGTTCGAAATCAAGGTGAATGAGGTAGCACCTCTGTACAGCAGAGGAGAGTGCTCACAGGCTTCAGATGGCTCCGCTGCTTCTCTGCTTCTATTTGTCAAGTCTATTGTAGCACTGGGAATCTAATGCACCTGCCTCAGCTTAATCTCACCACAAAAGGTTTCCACTGCACAGTGTGCCAAGACATTTCCATGGTTGATTAAAGGGGATGGGGCTTGCATATATAGCTAAGATATGTAATGTAGTAAGGTGAAGCCAAGTTACTCCACAAGATACCTAGTACATGAAGATTATGTTTGTTTACCGTTAATTTAAATTTGAGACACAAATGAGAAGTTATTGCTGAGAGGAAGACCAACCAGTCCATCATATAGCTTCAAAACAGATTTTGTATTTCAGGCAAATATTTACAACAGGTTTGCCTATTTTTTCCCAGTTTCTAATGAGTGCTTTATGTGTTTACTCCATCTCCCTGACATTAAAGACTATTATAAATCAACCTGTGTAACAAACATCCTTCTTAAAACTAAGTCATGTAGGATGCTGTGAACATTTCAAAGGAAAGTGATTGATTAAAGAAGCAAAGGAGCACTAAGGTGTTTGCTTTCTTGAAAGACTTTTCTGTACTTGCTCAGTATGCTGCCTTTATGTTTAGTCACTGTGTTGTTGTCTACTACAGGCACACAGCATTTATACGAAAGCCTCTAAAATCCCACTTTGGGATTCAAATTGACGTTTCCTAACAACTCTTCTGGATAAAGGCTTACTTGAGCCCATTCTAACATTCGAGGGCAGCTACCATTGAGTCTCCTTGAGGAGAGGAGTGATGGTGCACTCACTGACCAGTGTCCAGTAGAGCAAAGGTTTCTTTCTTATGTCATTAACTGTTGGTGCTCACTTCAGACTGTGGAGTCTTGGTGTGGTCCCTCTGGGAACTGTAGGACTCAGGTTTATAGAACAGCCTTCATATCCTTCCCAAACATTTAATTGCTTACAACTTTCCAAAGAATTCTCCTTTTGGGCTTTCTCATTTTATTTTAAGCCCAAAGGTGAATTTTTTGGGAAGTTTGAGCTAAATTCCTTCAACTAGAATATGTAAATGAAGATATATTTGCTTTTTAAATGGCACATTTACTTCCACCTAAAATATGTGAATGTTACCACTTCATACTTCATAGCACAGTTCTCAGCACCAGTCACATTTTAGAGTTGCTGTTTTCATTGACTACTTTGCAGTTTGGTGTTCTTTTTCTGGGTCATGCCCCTCAGTTGTCTGTAGCACCTTACCCGTAAGAGGTTAAGTTGTCTTCAGCAAGCCTTATATAAAATGGATTTTCTCAACAAATGGAAGGGTCTGTTTTCTGACTATAAAGTCACCACAGAATTGAAGTTACCTTTTGATTTCACTGTTCGTATTCTTTAAATTGGAACACTATAAGCAATTATAAAAATATTCTTTCTTAATTCAGTAAACTACTTTTTAATTACCAAGGGTAAATATTCAGAATGTTTTAAAGATGAAATGATTATGTATAAATAGAACATGTTCATGGTTGGCCCAGAAGTCTTCTGCTGAGTAAGCAGTAAGTATTCCCTTGTAAAGTCCTCATAGTCACAATCCTGTTTGCTTTTGGGACTGGACAGTCTACTTCTGCCTTTAATGGAACGTCTGCTTTGTCTCTCAATCAATGAAGATCCAGCTCCAGATCCCACAGGGGCTCTTCTTCCCCAAGAAAAAGATCTTACTCGAGTTCTTCATCATCTCCTGAAAGAGACAGGAAGAGGAGTCGCTCTAGACCTTCTTCACCAGCTGTTCGCAAAAAAAGACGAACGAGATCACGGTCGCCCGAAAGGTTTGGGTTTCTGTAGAATAAGAATGGGTGTTCTTATGTGCATTTCAGAGGTGGACTCTGTAGGAAAGGGTTAGAGTTCTTTCTCCTTTGTTCTTTAAATTTTTATCTTTAAACTTCAAAATTCTGATTACTTTGGTTAGCCTGTTTATTAACTTAGGAAATGTTACAGGACAGACTATTCTCTGATCATTTTATTGTTCAAATTTTATTTCCATGTATATTATAGCCAACTCTCGGTTATTTTTGTGTTTTTAAAGATCATAACCCAAAAGCTATATGTTGAAATAATTTACATGTATTTGTTTTTTAAAACTAGATGTTAGAGATGGTAGGGATCCTAGGGTACACAGTCAGGATGAACTTGCAAAATCATGGGGATCTGTCCTCCCTTAAATATGTGTTAGTGCTTTTCTGCAGCACGTGACTTTTATGCTCTTTACATGCCCTTGGAGCTAATACTTTTTTCATCTTGCAGTCCAGATCCATTTTTCTCTTTTGAAAGGACCTTCTCTGGGTCCCTATATCTAGAGTGCACTTGTCATGTGTCAGCCTTTTCTGTAACAGACTTGATTACTTGGTTTCACTAATTTTCTCTTGGTTTTCAATGTCTTAGTAATGATTTGTGGCTTCATTTGTAATCTTGGAAAAATTTCCATATTCTCTCAACTTGTGAGAGAAAAGAAGGATCATTAGAGTCTGGTGATGACTGGCCTCAAAGGGTGGGGTCATGTTATTCCTACTCAGGATTACATGTCCTTCACATTTGAAGTTCAAGATTGTACCCAGTCTTCTTCTGAGCATTGTTTCTTTAGTTGAAAATTACTCTGTACTTAAGTTAAATTCATTCTGTTGCCATTCTACCACTACAGCAAATTTTTATCTTAGCCACATATTATCCCCCCCCCCAGTTTGTTGTCATCTAAACTTAATGCACATGTTCTCTATTCTATAAGCCAGGTGATTGGTGAAAACATTAAACAACCCTGAGCCCAGGGCCAACCCCTACGGAACACCACCACTTTGCCCAGGTTGATACTGACTTACTCATATTGGCTGCATGACTCTAGCACTTTAACTAACTGTACAGTCACCTTATGTGATCTAGACTTCCAAAACTTCATTGCTTTGAATGTACCTTCTCATGCACCCAGAAGCCTTGTTGTGTTCCATAGAGACCCCACAGTGTGTTCTCTGTGGTACAGCAAACATTGATTTTATCACACGTTACCAGGATTCTGTGCCTTCCTTGTACATGTATGTGATTATCAGCTTTTTTCAAGGCTTTCCCTTCATTACCTTGAATAATTGAGAGGTGGCTATATTTGAAATGAGTCTATTCTTAAATTGTAGAGAGTTTACATTCACACCAATTCTGTGCTTACATCCAAAAAGTGTATAAGCTATCTTAGGATTTAACTGCTCCTGCGAGCATCAAGGTACCTAGTGTTTGCTCTGCTCTTCTCTGGTGTTTGCAGTCTTAGAAACAGACACTTGGTTTAGTGCTGTTTACACATTGTGTTGCTCTCTTATGTCTTACAGGCACCACAGGTCATCCTCCGGATCAACCCATTCTGGTTCCCGTTCAAGTTCAAAAAAGAAATAATGTATTAAAATTTACATCTTTAAAAAACATTGAGTACAGTGCATGAAGCATATTTTTTAGGAAGTTGATGTCTCATTTGGTCAGAAGTACTACATCTGCTAGTAGAGGTGCATGCCTTTATTGCTTTTCAAAACAATACAACTGTGTTTATTTGTGAAACTGAAAGTAAATTGCATTTTAAGCCATACTGTTCCCCAGATAAATGCTCTCTGTTCATTTACAACCATTTGCTTCATTTAAAACCATCCTAGCAATAGCAGTACTTTTGTTTCCTACTTTAAATCCTTGTCCTTTTCATTTCTAAATGTTCTATTGACAGAAACAGGGTTGCCTGGGCTTGCCTGGACTTCAGACACATGGGCAAAGCTAATAAGCTAGATGGAATAACCAATTCATGTTCATATGGGAGTAGTAGTCAACCTGGTTATGTTATTTACTTGTGCCAGTAATTTCTTACCAGACGTTAACTATGTTGCAAAGCTGACAACTGGGAACAAGCTGAGGGTGCCTTAGAATCATTGTCTCTTACCAGCTTTACACCTCTTAATACAGAGGATTGTAGAAATTACAAAAGGAAAAGGTTAACCACATCTTATTTCAAAATGTCTGTCTTAAAGTTTAAGAAATGTGGATATCCTCTAAATCTAGTTACCAAATATTGTACTTGAACAATAAAGGATTTTAATCATAGTTAATGAGCAAATTGAAGAAAGCTTTTGAAACCTGTTTCTCAGTGACAGGCTGACAGAGACATGAATTTAAGTGAACATTTGCCTTGTGATGTCTGATTTTCAACATTGTAGATATCTAAGTAACAGAAGAATTCTTATTTCTGTACAATTTAAGCAAAGTCATTTTTCTCCTCACCTGAAAAAAAAAACCATATGGCTTAAAATGCTTTCAGAATTTTATTTCTCAAATTAAAATCTGGTCACTTGAGATCCATTTTGTTCTCTGGTTTAAAAGTTAAAAGATTTCTCTTAACAGTCTCTTCAGCAGCAAAAGCAAGGTAAGTATATAAGGGACAACAGTTGTGCTGGGGCTCCTTGTGAGGGAATTATTTTTCCTGTTTCTCCTTTAGTATTTGTCTGCTGCAGTTTAAATAAGTAAAGCCTTCTAAGATGTTTAGTAGACAGATCAAACAAAATGTTTTTATTTTAAAGTGAGTGTTTTTCTTCTCAACTGATCTAAAGATGAAAACAAAATATCGTACGTAGAAATATTTTGGTAATATTTTTACAAGCTTTCCTGTGTTTTTTTGTCTTATTTTCCTTGCTGCATTTACTGTAGGTTGCACACGAACTCTTACTCTCTTGTAATTGTGCCTCAGACTTCTTGAAAGTCGACTTTCTGAGTTGCCCAGATCTTCTAGATCCGACGTGTTAGCCTTGGTTTGTTTTTGTGCTTTCTGTATTTAAAACTTGAGCTGTACTAGGCAAATGCAAGATTATAAATTTAGCTAATAGGAGTTTACAAACAGTTCAGATGATTATGATTTGATTTGGTTTAATTGAGCTGTACTAGTTCATTTCGTAAGGAAATGATACTGTAGACAAATGTAAATAAAATCTGTGAGTCAACCATCATGTGTTGTTTATTAGAAATAAACTAGAAAGTTGTAAGCTCTGACTGAATGTTCTAAGCTCATAATAGCTTTTCTTCACTGTTCACTTTATCGTGCTGACTCAAACATAAAAAACAAGAATACAACAATTTGGGAGTACTTGAGGTAACTTTCATTTGTGTATGCTTGCTACTAGTACATTACACACTTACTCCCTGTGGTCGAGTATCAGTGTACCCCTAGAATCACTCAGGACCGGATACTTAATGTCATCCAGTGATGACAATAAGTTTCTTATGTTTCCACTGGAATCTAAGACAAGTTGTCAATACAAGGCCATCTAGGCACAGTTGGAAAAATAATTAGGCATTTACTGTCATTCTGTGTCCCCTTCCTGTTGCCTGGCACGTGGGGCTACTATTGGAGCTTCCAGAAGGTAGAAGATAAGGAGGGCTCTGCTGCCTGCTTTGTTTGACCCAGGTGTTACCATATTTTTAAAATAAAAAGTGCCATAGTGGCTTTTTTTAACTTGGTAACTTGGAAGCTGTATGATTTTCAGAAAATAGAAAACACCTTTTTGTTTTTGTTTTGTTATTAATTTCTATGGTGTGGGGGGTGGGCTACTCTTGCCACAGTATGAAAGTGAAGATCAGAGATTAACTTAGTGGAGTCCATTCTCTCCTCTTTTGTGATGGTTCCAGGCCATCAGTCTTAATATTGTTGAGTGGCCCATACTTTCACCCAGTGAACCATCTCACTAGGCAGACCACACAATCATGGAAAGTTAGTGCACCATGCAATTAAAAATGTGTTTGCAGAAACCAGAAGAGCAGAGTCTAATGACAGATTTCAGCATTATGTCTCATAAAAAGTCAGACTAACTTGTATAGTTGGTAAACCAATTATTCAGGTTTTTTTTTTTTTTAGGATAGTAACTTGGTAAAAAAGCTATACAGAACTGCTTCCTCATTACCAGTATTTGTTAACATTATGAATTCATGTGTTAGAACTAAGAAATCAATGCTGGTATATTATTTATGTTCTGGCCTTGTCTTTTGTTTGTTTTTCTTTTTTAATTTTTTATTCATTTTCATACATATATGCAAAAATCTTGATCCTATCCACCCACAAGTCCCTTGGGACCCTGCTAACACGAGCCCCTCCCACCTTCATGTCTCTTTAACTCGGAGTCCATCCAGTCAGTGCTGCCCATGTAAGTAAGCATAGGCAACCTACTAACAGTTAAACTGCTGAAGAAAAATGTCTCCCTATTGATCTCTGTTCCTGTGATAAAACATTCTGAACAAAAGCAACTTAGAGGACAAGGGACCTTACTCAATCCTATGCAATTCAGATCACTTTCCATCACCAAGATGGTAGGGCAGGAACGTGTAGGCAGGACTGATTGCTAGTCCATACAGCATTATGAACTCACACCCAAGTACATCCAGCAGTCACAGAGGATATTGCTTGCTAGTCTTGCCCATTGATCACATGGTCAGATAGCTTTCTTTTACTGCCTAGGCCTACCTGACTAGAAAGAGTTTGACCTACAGTGGTCTGAGCTCTCTTAAGTCAATCATTAAGACAGTCTTTCATGGACATGACCTTAGGCAGTACAGATTGGGCAGTTCTTCAGTTGTGATTTTCTCTTAACCAGGTGGCTCTACAGTGTATCAAGCTGACAAGAAAAACTAACCAGGATACTACTTGCCTGGCTACCATGAAATTCTGACTTTTTTGAAGATAATTGCTATGGCCAGACTTATAGTGCTCCTGCCTCAGCTGGGCTTTCTGGTATGCACTACTGCAACTGAGTTTTATTCCAGATTTTATTTAATCTTTCTCATTTTTTTTCATTTGTTCCTGAGTTTAGATATACTAATTCTAATACCTTTGTAATCTCCTCTAGGCTTATAATTTGTCATTCTTTTTGTCAGACAATCTTGAAGGATTCTGCCTAGGTCATACTGTCTTGAGGTTTCTGTTGTGAAGATACCATGGCCACGGGAACTCTTTATAAAAGAAAACATTTAATTGGGGCTGGCTTATAGGTTCAGAGGTTTGCTGCATTATCACCATGGCAGGACAAGGCACACATGGTGCCAGAGAAGCCAAGAGGTCTACATCTGGATCAGTAGACATCAAGAAGAGAGAGATACTGGGCTTCTTCTGAAACCTCAGAGTTCACCCCCAGTGACTCCCAACAAGCCACAACTCCAATAATGCTATTCCCATGAAGCTGTAGAGACAATTTTCATTCAAACCACACATAACCACTCTCTAACCCACTGTGTTAGGTCTGTATGTTTTTTCGCCCTGGGGCTGTGGGTTTAGAACATAGAGGAAAAGCACCCTTTGGATCTCTGAAGCTTACCGTGTGACATACTGGGAATGGTAACCTCAGCTTTTAGGGTGATTTAATTCTTTTCCTTAATGATCTTCATAAGTGATACTTGGTTTACTTACATCAGTAAGTAAAGGAATTGGAAATGCAAAGTCTACCTCTTATTGGAGATGTTATCAAAACCTTTGTGGGAGTCTTCCTAAGAAGCACTTCTTTTTCCATTTGGTCATATGGACATTTGTCACATTGCTGCTTAGATGGTTCTATATCATCAATTACTCTTTCAGATTTCCTGATGTGCCTCCCTTTTCCAATGCGAAGGAAAGTAGATAGGAGATCAAATAGGATGAGGCAAGCCAAGTATGCAACATGAAAATACAAATCAGAAGTATAGGTAGTGTACCAACTATTAAAGCTAAAAGAATTCACCACTAAGTCTCTGACCAAAGCCTGTAAAGTATCCTTTTGTCGGTTTTAATGGCATGGGACATCTGTAGAGTTTGTATATGCTAGTAAAATACATGACTACCTTTCTGTTGAAAAGAAAGGCTGAAATGTACTGCAAAGCAATTGGATTCTGCTTCATCTTTAAGTTTACTAATTTGTACCCCAAGCCCCAAAGAGTCCTACATACTCTCCTATTCTCAGTAAAGCCAAACTATCACTAGAGATAATGAAAGACCCCAATTAGTGAAATATGTGCCTGTCCAAGTACATGGAAACAGGTACTGAGTAAGAAGAGGGGAAGAGTAAACAAAATGAGTTTGTTCATCTTCAATTTATTTGAAAGTTGTGAATAATGATAAAGATCAATAGATTAAAAGGCCTTTCATTAGTGCACCTATTTATCTTCAGAATATAAAACAAAAACTGGAGCTGCAAAGGTGAAAGGTGAAATAACACTTCATGTCACAATTGGTGTGATTTAAGTAAAACCAGACTTGAAAACTGACCAGCTGAGCCAGTCTAAGTTAATGAAGACTGCAGAAGGGTCTGCATGTCATTTCAAGTACCTATTTAGGGATATAGAATGTCTTTTTGTCTGTGATAAAATACCTTCATAATAGCTTTAAAGGATGCGTTAATTTGAAGAGGTCAATATACAGTCAATCAAAGGAGCAGGTAACACTGAGGATCAGCAGATGGCCACAGTGCATGCAGCTACTCAATTCCCTTTCTCACAGTCCAGAATTCCTGGCTCAGCAAATTGTCCCACCCATTATTAGGTCTTCCCTGTCAGAAAATGTAATCAAGGTAATCCCAACAGGCATGTCACTACACACAAATGATTCTAGGTTCAGAGCTGACACTATATATATACATATATATGTATATATACTTATACATATTATAGAACAAGTATTAAACAAGAAATTCAAGAACATTGTTTAGCTACTCCCAACACAAATCAAAGTGATCTTTGAGTAATCAAGGCAGTGGTTAACCTGGGCAGTGATGGCACACGCCTTTAATCCCAGCACTTGGGAGGCAGAGGCAGGTAGGTGGATTTCTGAGTTTGAGGCCAGCCTGGTCTACAGAGTGAGTTCTAGGACAGCCAGGGCTACAACAGAGAAACTCTGCCTAAAAAAACAAAATCAAGGCAGTGGTTAACTATTAACGTCAAATAGATCCTCTTGTTTAATTAAAACTGTCAATCTAGATGGCTGGCAATTGTATGTGCTTGTGTGAAACTATGAGCTATATATAATATTTCTGTACTTCTTTACTATATGTTAGTACCCACCTTAGAAGTACAATCATTCAAACTGAACATGAAGATAATAGGCAAGACTCCAACCCCATATAGCAGATAGGTTACAAAGACAGTAGACTTTCCTAAGCCTTTATCGAGTATCCTTTATATTTATTGTTGGGGTCTGGGAATCACAGCACAAACCATTCAGACACCAATCTCAGTCAAATAGGGATGGTTTATTGAACACCACACCCCAAAACTGATCAGGGCCACATGCAGGCTCAGGAGCTGAACGATGACATTGAGTCAAGATAGAGCTTTTTAAGCCTGAGACCTGCAAACATCTCTGTCTTGTTATTCCACCAATCAGGATTTAGGGATAGGAGACTTCCATAGGAACATGTCTTGTACAGTTATCCTCCCACTGGTTGGGGTATTCACCTCTGTCAGGGGACTTGCCTTGTCTAACATTCCTGTCTTAACTTGCCAACAGGATGTCAGTTACCCACATAGCTGTTGAGAGGCCAGATCTTTTGGGTTCAGACTCCATCTTGGAGAACCTAACCTAAGGTTGAACTCCTCAACTCACAAGCCAGAACCTAGCACCAGTTTCCAGGTTACTCCACAACAGACCTGCGCCTCCAGGTTACAAGCCTGCCCCTGGCACTTCGTAACAACTATCAATCGAAAAAAAAAAAAAAAAAAGCAGAAGTTAAGTTTATGGTTTGGCTCCCAGCACCAGCCAATTATGTTAAAGGCCGTAATGACCCCCCCAGTCAGGTATATGCCAGGCTAGATAACCCCTTTTTGTCTCTATAAATGCTTTCCTGAAACAAGGCTGGGGCCTCCACCTTCCAGTCCTGCTGTGTCAGGGTTGGCAGGGAGCTCAAGCTGGAGTTTGTAATAAAGAGACCCTAATGTGATTGCATCAGAATTGGCTCCTTGGTGTTCTTTTGGAGTTCACAAACGCTTCCTG